AAAATACAGAAAGAATAAACTTATTTGCGTTTCAAGAAGCGAATTAACCAGAGTCTTCAAAAACCCATTTTGGATCATTAATCTGCTTGTATGTACATATGTATGTATCTATATGTGTGTACATGTGTATCGAGAGAGAGAGAGAGAGAGAGAGAGATACCAAGGGTTGAACATTTGGTTTCTCCATCAATGGTATCCACAGCAGCTAACACAAACACAAAACGAAGAAGAAAAGTGAAGAACAAAAGCGAATAAAAAACCATTCGATAAGACAATCTTCTCGATCCAATCTTCACTTTGATAAATTCTCTCACACCTTTTGCTGGTAAAACAGTGACATGCCTCAAACTTGGAGATATATGCAGCTGCATGTTTTCAGAAAAATACCCAGGAATTACGTATACACACAGGAAAACTACGAACTCTATATTTATTTAGCAATGCAGCCAATAATATGTGTTCGAGATGCAAAGAAGATGTAAGAGAAATGCTGTAAAAGGAAGGTTTTGAGGGTGCATGTTTCGGGTTGCTATCAGTTACCTAAACTTGCTTCGAATTTAGGTTACAATTTTAAGGTGTATAAACGTGTTTCTTTTTTAAACAAGGAAATGTAAATTTGGCAGAGAAGAGGAGGGTTTGTTTGAAAGAAAAGGACTAGAGACTGACTTGGTGTTTAAGAAGAAAGGTAAGAGAGAGAGACGCAAATGTTTTAGAGAGAGAAGTGAGAGTTATACTGTTTTGTTTGGTGGGGTTTCGCTTTGCCTCCACATGAAGTATTTTGAAAAAAACTTTTTAGGTTTGGTCTTCGACACAAACAGAGTTTCTAAATGGAAAATGACACTACCTTTTCTGTCCTTTTTGGGTCTTTGTGGTTATGTAGGTTGATGTGTGGGCCGGTTAGACCATAAAAACACAAGGGGGTGAACAAAAGTATCAAGCTGTCGTAATTGGAATGAAACGGTCGATTCGATCTGGTCCCATTTTAGTTTTTTAATCGATTTCGGGTACTAGAACCAAGAAATGGATTTGATCCGATTCTTTATTCCAGTACCAAGAACTTAAAACACAAAATGAATTAAGGCACTATTTGATTGCTACAATTTCCATGAAAAATATCACATCCGAGGAAAACGAATTTTACTTTGACCGTTTGATTACAACGTGGAAATGGAAACTAAATTTGAATGTACAACCACTTTAAGCTGCATTTTCTTTGTTTTAATGAAAAACGAATTCTTATGAGTTTGGTGGGTTTTTATTTTCCAACTAAAATGGAATTGGAATTCTTTTTCACATTTACCTATCAAACGGACCCTAAACTTTTAATTTATTTGGTTAAGTTATTCATAGAACTTTAGTAGATAGTTCATGTAAAGTCCCTCCTTTCCATCGTGGAACTTTAGTCATGGAACCGAATTTTCCATAATTACATTTGAAACAAATGGTTCTATTTATAAGATTCTCACTGATTCTTGATTTGGTTCGATTCTCTTTGAAACTGGACCATGTCCACCTTTTAAAAAATGTCCCGACTCAACAAATTCTTTACATTGTCGATCTGCCTTTCCTAGTGTGCTAGAATATTTCATAAAGATTTCATACTCTCACAGCACATTGAAGGTTGCATATTCCAACTTACTACCAAATCTAGAGGAAATAATCTCCATTCTTTCTAGTAAATTGGAAAGCATTTCAGGTTTTGGTGATTTTATTTAGGGTTGTCCGTGGGTCTGTTCGGTTCTAAACTGAAGAGAACCGAACCGATCCAAAACTTTCGGGATATTTAATAAATGGAACCGTCGGGTCCAAATATAATTATTGAACCATTCGGTTTCAGTTCCGTACCATAATTAAATTTTTTAATATTTACAGTAATACTATATAAATACAACTAATGACATTTCATTCGTAACTTTTACAAATTAGCGTAGTCCAATTCAAAAACATATAAATAACTAGCCGTCCAATAAGATTAATTCAATGCATACAAATACCAAAAAGTAGATATTAATATTACAGCAACACTACATAAAGTATATTCATTTGCTTCAAATTAAAATGGGCTAATGGGTTTTAAAAATGATTTGGGCTTTAAAATTAAAATTATGAAATAATCTGATTTATTTAATTAATTTACTAATTTGTTTAGAAAAAATAAAATAATTTAATTAATTAAACATAAAAAATAAAAAAAATTATTTAGTTTTGGTTCTTGATCTAGACCCATCGGTTCTCGATTCAAGTACCCGTTCGGGTATTTAACTTAGAAAAAACTGCTCGGTTCGATTCGATTCGATTCGGTTCGGTCCGAGACTTTTGGATACCCCTAATTTTCTTGGTCTATGCTTTTCCAGTCTAAGGATCACAAATATTTTTAGTTGTCCCAAACTAAAACTGTCTTTTCTCTGTTGAAAGTTCGGGACGAACCTCAGTTAAACAAAAAGAGATCATAAGCTAAAATCTTGTTTTTAGAAATAACGAAACTTAGAAGATACGGTTACATTTTGTGGGATGGGATGAAATTGACAGACTCACTCTCAACGGTACGATTGAGCAGCTCAGTCCATAAGATATAGTTTTAACATTAATGGAAATAGAGAGACATGACATTAAAAATAATAAACAGATAGCAATCAATAAAATACAGCAACAGTTTTCATTTATTTACATATTACAAGTAATTACAGCATCTGTAGTCTGTATTTGCAGAGTCACAGTGAATAAAAACTAACATCAAGGTCTTCAAACTTCCACATCACATCCAAAGCTCCTATTTCTCACTCTATAATCCACTCAAAAGAGTTACGAAACTTTTAAGAAAGCTTCCCAGAGAATAAAAGAATACCTTAAAACCTGGGCAAATCATAACGTGATAAATTACTCGACTGGGAAAAGTGAAGTCGATAACAGTCTACGTAAAGTTCTAAGCAAATAACATGGGAAACAATAGGAGGGGGCGGGGGGAAATCAAAGCTGGACCTGCAAGGAATACCTTTAATCAAACGCGTCACTTCGTTAGATTGGTTCTCCATAATCTTCAAGCCATCTCTATTATTTACAGAGATCTAAGACTCCCCCATTGTGGAGTTCTGTTTAGTAATTACAGTCCCGAGCCCGGTATCCACTATGGGGGTATCATTAGTATATGCAAAGACCCTATTTGTTTCAGTTGGGACCTGAAGACCATCCCAATGTGTTTCTTCAGCATCATTGTTTGATTCAGTCACTATAATGCCAACGTTGTTTGTAGAGTCAAGAGAGCTAGAACTGCTCCTGCAGGTAAGTTCTCCATTCGCAGACCCCTGATATAGTGTTTGGCCATTGTTGCGAGTATTTATAACAGGAATCCTGAATGACAATGAACATTATTATTTAAGAGACAATTGGAAAATTTACGAGAAATCAAAACAAAAATTAAGATCACAACATCAACGAAACCACACAAAACCAAAAGAAACTGAGGAGTTAAGATAGACTACAGGAAAATAAACAAGAATGGAACCAGACAAAGATCCTGCTTTCTATAGCCCCACCCCCACCAGAGAAAATGACTCGTCCGTAGCAGAAACACACAGTGCAATCCCTTAGTACATGATACTTATTCGTGCCGTGCAACCGAATGCAACACGAAAAATAAGACTGTCCTGAGACGAAAAGAATTTAAAGAACCATCTCAATGTACCTCCCTTGTGGGAATTTGGAAGCTTGAAGATAATCAAACACTGGAAACAAGTTTTTTGACCTCATTTCAAGCGAGTGAACAGGGATAGTTTCAATCTCAATCTCTCCCCTACAAGCACCTTCCTCGTCTAAATTAAAGCCATTGGTCAGCATCAACTGAAAATATATCTGCCCATAAATGTAACAAAAACAAATGATGTCATTTGACAAAGATAGCACAATTTACTTAAAACACCATCCTCTACTTTTCCGTGGAAGATAAAGTACCTCAGATCTCAACCACAATGGATTCTGACTTTGATGCATCTGGAGTTCTGCCCCGGAGATATACATTTGGTCTCTTTCTTCAGGAATGCTATCATTTGTGGTTGTAACCACGACATTGGAAAGTAGATTTTTTTCGCGTCTCATGCTTTCTGGGAATACTTTACTGCTATCTGAATTTACTTTTTGAGCATAGATATTATCTTCTTGCTCCTTAAGGTTTTGTTTTTGACAAATATTCCACTTCTGAATTGGCTCCAAAGCTAATCTTGTATCACAGTTGAGGCCTGATTCACAAGTGGTACTCGCTCCAGGCAAAGATGTTATCCTATCAACCACAGGAGAGAGCCGCAGTGCATATTGTACCACATTACCAGGAGGAGAAAAAACCATCAGGTAATAGTTTTTCTTAGGACAACTGGTATCTGCATACAATTCATTGGCTTTGCACTTGTAGAAAGCAGAAGCAATTACTCCAGAGAGAGAACTCATCCGCCCAGTTGCAGCTGCGGCAGCACCCCTCAACGTGTTGCTCCATCCACTATTTCCGTTCCTTATTCTGCTAACAGCATTAACTGTAATTGGGGGCCCAGATATGCGCACAATCTGATGAGTTAGCACCTGCAATCCTGAATTTGGTGGGTCGCAAATCGTGGGCTCTGCCATCAAGCAGGATCTGCTGTTTTTGGTACTAAAACAAGCATCAGTGGATACTGACCCCCCTGAAGGAGAAATTGGAAAGAGATGACTCGTTCCTCTAGAGGAACTAATCATAATCCATTCACTATCAACGCTAAAACTTATATCCTGTATGACCTGAGAAAAAATTACCAACGAAAAAAAATCAGTTCCTTTCAGTAACAAACTCAATCAAATAAAAGAAAACAACAAATCTAGCTCTTACAGCATTTGTGAACCCACGTTGAAGCCTATAAATATGGCAATAAGAAGGTCCAGATGAAACTCCAGAATGTCCAGGCATAATACGGAAAACATTGATATTATGACCCTGAACTGAAGCTGTCACTAAAAGGTTGCCGCTAGGATCAAAGCATAGTGATTGAATAGGACTTTTATGTGCCCTAAACTGTGCAACAACAGTTCTGGTGACGGTGTCTATGACAATGACCTGACAGATGAATCATGAACAATAATGAGAGTAAAAGTTTAAACTGAAATGCACAGGCATTAAAATAGAAAGAATTGAACAGTTCCCTACACGGTTTAAGCAGGGAGAGCACAAAGAAAAAGACAAGTACCACAACTTACAGTCAAGATATAGTCACATTAGGCTTAATAACTTGTGGAGGTCAATTTGACAGGAATGACAACAGTAGCAAAGCAAATACACACAAATGGTGTGCAAAAACCAGAACTAAGATTCACACTTCAAAAATTATTTCGTACCATGCCAACATCCTCTGCATCAGGCAAAATGCCAGTAGCAACACCGTTTACCTTCCCTTGAGCAGTCCCAGATTGCGAGTTGTTGCCTTCAGGTACCAGCTCAGAGTAATACCTTGATAGTTTCTTATAACCCTTGTCTCCTAAAGTCACAATGCCAGCAGCAAGTTGCTTGCTTGACTCTTTTGCATAATGTGCAATGAGGCTTTCATTTGAAGCAGGATTAGGAAAACTAGCCGAGGGGTTAAGGTTTTCTGGACTCACATGCCCAGAATCTAAATTTGCAACTTGACTCCCACTATAAGCCATCCACCTGGGACCCACTGCAAGCGGCCCAAAGCCTATATTTCCGGACCCAGAACTCCCCATAACAATCGGATTTGTAAGAATTGTATAATCTCTCTCTAGTGTCACAGCATTGAAACACTGTATCTGTAAAATGGATGTCTTATTCATATGTCTGACAACCAGACAATAAACAAAGGCAGCTTATGAAAGGGAAAATGTGTTTTAAAGAATTTAAGGATAAGTAAGCATACCTGGTTCGACTGCAAAACAGCAACAACTCGAGAGCTGCATCTCACTAAATGAATAACTGATCTAAACCTTAAAAGATGTATATATGATTGAGATCTCAAGGAATAAAACCAAACCACAGTAGGAACACAACTACCATTAAGGGAACCATGGTGTTGTTGGATGGACCCATTACAAGGAGCACCTAACCTCTCCTGATTGTTATTACCTCCAGAGAAGGATCCATCAGCACATATGATCAGCAATGGGCAACTGTCCACACATTTATCCCCAGACTGCTTCGATGCCATCGGTTTTGGTAACATTTGCATAAATGAGACGGGACCATCATGCCTGGAAACTAAGATCTGCACATTGGCTGCTTCTTCAACATCCCAAACCTGAAATCCGTAGCTGTACCCCAGCAAGAGAACTTGCCGGGTGATGCCTCCCTCATCTTCTAATTTGTCAAACCCAGCCCAGTTAACCTTAATAGGTAATTGGAAAATAAAAATTGATCAGCTCCACCTACTAGATCTAGAATACACGAATAGGAAACATATAGTTAAAAAAGGAATCAGCACGAGATAGTTAAAGATAATAGAATCCCTTACAGTAGGAAGTCTACTTGTCACAGATCAAATAAATTGGTACTACAAGTTCAAGTGCAAAAAGCATATCGTAATATTGATTACAGTCGTAAAAAATGTGCAACTGAAGCAATGAACAAGAATCACTTTTGAAGGATTGACCTAATGGGAAAACCGTAAGCTCTCAATGAAATTAATACAAACTATGTAACGCAACACCATGTAAATAGAAAACTAGCATGCAGGGAATATTTGCGGTAACACTAAATCAGATCATAATCATCAATAAAAAGTCACATGGAGAGACCAAATAAAAATTTCAATGAATGATTAGTAAAAAGCCACGGTAAATGCTAAAGCATGTGATCCTCGATCCAAGATTTAAGTCTCAACAATAATGCAAAACTTTGTCCAAATATTGAAGTATTGAACCAAACTCGTAAAGTGAAAAAAAAAAAAACCTTAAAAGAGTATAAGAACAAGGACCAGAAAGTCCTCTGAACAATTATGAAGTAAATTTCAGTATTTTAACCAACAGCAGATTGGAAAACTGACAAATTAGATTGAGAAGGCGGGATTCTATTAAATGTTAAGAAATTCATGTGTCCTTCAGTAAACTCCTCCTTCCCACTCCCTGAACAAAAAATGAAAAAGGAAAAAGGGAAATAAAAAGGGAAAAACTTAACAGAGAGCAAAAAGGCCCACCGACCCCAAACAAATTCACGTAAAGATACGACCAATTTTCCAATAATAGTAGTGACAGGCACATTGACAAGGCAAAGCGCTGCATGTTTGAAACATAAATCAGACAACTTCACGGCCGCAATAACTGAAACCATCAAAACAGAATACAGACAACTTTATGAATGCCACAACAACCGGAACCATAAAAAAGAATACAGACAATTTTATGAACGCCGCAATAACCGAACCCATCAACATTCTACACATTTAAAGGCATTATATTTTATTCCAGGACTACTGTACAAAAAGATGTTGCATGATTGACAGAGGTAACCAGTTTAGACGTAAAGGACCATAATGAAATATATTCACGTGATAAAAAGATCCATGCATATACACGATCCTGTGATAGAAAAATATAAGTAATATCCAGTTTTATCTAATTGAATATGTACGCAATTTTTTTTATAAATAAATAAATAAAAATCATGCTTGTGCTATTGCTAGAGAAGATATTATGCAAAATAAGATACTATATATCCTAGCACTTATAAATCCAGAAACTTTAACAAAGATCAAAACCAAAATACAGAGAATTCAATATCTTCTTTCTGAACAACAACTAGAATTGTAGCAAATAATACATTCCACTGCTGCATAAAGAAACTAGTTACTATAATTCTCTCTTAACACACAAAGGGGGGAATATAAGAATAACACACTCCTAAAGATCAAATCTGCAAAACACCATGAGTTCAAGACTTCAAGCTGCAAAGTTTTTACCTTGATCTGAAAATAATCATTCAAAGGTAAAATCTCCAAAAATGGCAGCAGAAGCTATTTAATTGCAAACTTTACATGCCCAGAATAAAAAATTTTCCCATTTTGGAAGCAAAAAAGAAAATCAAATAGTCTCCATCGTACAGTTACACGCGGGATGCAGCAACAAATTTCAGCAAACAATGTATTCATTCAAGAACAGCCGTATTGGGCTGTATATAACTAAACGTGCTGAAAGTGCATAAATTTCTCTTAATTATCCATATTAAAATTTCCGATTCAGAGAAAAAATGGTTTGAAGTCTCACCTGCCAATCGATGGATTCAGAGTCTCTCTCCGCAATGCTCAAAGCGGCGGACCTCACTGTGGAGGCCGCGTTGGAGGCACCGGAGGAAACAGTCCTCAAGTAGCTTGAAAGAGCCTTGAATGATGTAGGAAGGATCCCATTATTACCTCGACCTGGCCTTGGCACCGCTGGCCCCCCATCACCGCGACCAATTTTCCGGTCATCGTTACTCATCCCCAATCTTCACGACGGAAGCGAAAAATCTCGAACTTTACCAGCCGAAAACCCACTGCTAACAGCTGTTCAGCTCTATTGTCAACGAACACAACCCCTTTATACCGCCGATAAAACAAAAGCCCACAGAAAACTCGATGCCCTCAGCTTACAGTTGTAAGCATTTTTCGCTCACAATTCAAAAACCATGCCGATTGCAACAAAAATACGGCTCAATCACACTTGCCCAGCGTCATCTTCTGTTTTTTTCCTCTTCACCATTTCATTAATGGCACCAACACTCACAAAAAATGGTTAAATGTATAACATTAAAAAGGGTGGCTCCATGAACTCTATTAATGCAAATTTTGATAATACAGACAACAATATTCTCCAAATAAAAATAATTCCGTCGTCAGTGATTTTTGTTCTTATCTGCCTCTCTACAAACCTAAGTTCAATACAAATCAAAGAATTTATACAAGAATAAAACAATCATACAAAGAATATATACAAATTGAATCCAGGAATTTGAAGAGTTGAAATCAAATTGAACTTTTAATATGATCGATGATTTCCGAGATTGATGATGCTAGAGAGAGAAAATCAAATGCATATACGTATAGAAAGAAAGAAAGAAAGTTTGACGGATTGGGATAACGAAGAAGGGAGAATAATTAAAAATCTCTCCGACTCTTTACGTCTCTCACTGTCAACAGAATTGTAGCACCGTAAGCAGTAAAATCAATTCAAAATTAGGGTTTTACTGACATTTTCGATTCGATTAAATATAATAATAATGCTTAGAACAAATAACCATTTGATTGTGAGAATCAAAATCAACTTTTACGTCAGAAAAATTCAACTTTTGCGATTGACTCATTGTTTACTTAATTGAATCATTGTTATTGGACAATATTTTATGGGGAAAATCTTCGAACTTTTTGCAAATTTTGTCNGTTTTGGAATGTGAAGGACTGGAGCCTATAAATAATACCCTTTTCGCTGATGCATTAGAATCATGCTTCATCAAATTTCGGCCCCGTACGGAAGGGATTAAAAGCCAATTAAAATTGAAAAAATGGCCGTTATTGGGTCCCACCCGTCTAATAAAAGTCAACAATAACGACTATATTTTCAATTTTAATCTGATTTTAATCCCTCCCATACAAGCTCTTAATTGAATCATTGTTATTGGACAATAGTTTATGGGGAAAATCTTTGAACTTTTTGCAAATTTTGTCTAAATCTTTGTTTTGTGTCACCCACGGTACCAAATCTTTAAACAATTCGCACCAGAGTCTAAATGGACTGTTTTCACCCAGTTAGCCACGAAAAATAATTCGGAATTTTTTTCGGAATTGGGTGTTTCTTCGAGAAAAACTATAATTTAATTTTAAGACATTGGATTAATAAATCTCACGAAATGTGTCAATAATTAATAAATAATACTTTCCAAAATTTATATTGGATTCTGACTTTAAACTATGGAATTTTGTGACACTCATAGTTTTGTTGATATTTCATGATTTGACAAGCTATCTGTCCATTTTTCAAATCAATGGTCAATTTTTTTGTTACACATAATAGAATATTAACCAAATTGTCCAAAATGAATGTCAAAGTATGATTTTCCTGGACAACGAGAGATTATCAAGAACCAAACGAATGCTTAGAAAGGGAGCTGCTACAATTACCCGGGGGGATTGACAACCCAAAACAAGTGGGCCCCCCACCATTGTGAGGGGCCGGTGAGGGGGTTGTTAACCCCCTGGTACAAATATAATTTTCCGCTTAGAAAATATTGGTGTATTTTGATGGACACATGATGGTTGTACAGGTCAAAGTAATCTGTGCAATTTGGAGTTGAGAATCAAATCCGATGGTTGGGAGAAAAATGGAGTATGATAAGTCGCGTGGAGCGGTGGAGTATGGGATGAGGCAATCAAAATGTAGACGCAATCCGACTGAGAATGTTTGGCGCGTAGTCTTTTGGGTCAAGATTTTAGTTTGACCATTATAGGGTAATTGGAAGCAATGGATCTCTCTTCCTCTCTCTCACGTGCTTGTAAACCTCATTTTAGTAAAGTAACTAATATGAGAATTTTTAATCAATCATGAGATAATTTAAATTTAATTTTTAATACCAATGTTTTTAGTGGATTTGATGCGTGTGAATATAGATTGTTACATTTTTGATAAAATAGCGAAACGCGAATTTCAAAATAATAGATATGTACCGAACTTGATAAAGTAAATGGCAAAAACATTAATTTTCACAAGCACGTGTTGAAGAAACTATTGTTGCATATTCTTGTCATCAAAATTTTTTAGACGCTAATATTAAAATTGAGAACCTGGCTTTAGAAGGTTAGAAGGAGAAGTCTACACACATCTCGAAGTGTCGGGAAGTTGAATAACAAGATTCTTGTTTTCAGTTGCTAGTATTAACTAATCTCACTTTGATCGTCTATGCAAAATAATAATCAGAAAGTAAAATTGTTCGTCAAAATTAGTGTATAGTTTCACTTCAAGTGTCAAGCCCATCACTATCGTTGTACCCCAAAAGCTACTAAGGAGTCATGTAAGCACCATCACGGAAACAAGCCCGTGTAAGCCGTCGATGACATGCCACGTGGCTTTTGACTGTACCATTGAACATCAAGTGATGCAATTGGCTCATCAAACGTTGCTTTTGAAGGCACCATGTCATCCCTCATGGTCTTGGAAAGAACCACCACAAAGCATGGGCATCGCATGCCAACCGAACCCTTTATCGACATATAATTGTGGTAAATCCCTCACTTTTGCCTTTTTCAAAAATTCATCAATCTTCATCATAAATTTCACCACACCTTGTAATATCAAATCAATGCTCGCGCAAAAACCTTTGAATTTTCTAGCATAACAGATCATCTATCATGACAATTAGCCACATGACATGAACATGTACATATATGCCTCAACATGTATCACTGTTTCTCATGAAGAGAGACAAACTAATAATGACACTATTCGTATTTAACTAGGAGCAGTCGGTTGATTCTGCTTCACATTTTAAATAGTTTTACTTGCCGTGCTAGTTTGTCCATACTTGGGGTAGTTACTTTTTCAAATCCTTGTGTAACGTAACATAAATCAATACATCATTTGACTTTACTTGCTACAATTCAAAATTGATTTTTCTCTGTAAAATTTCTTCACAACATATTTGACACTTACCATATCTTCTACGTGCTTTCTACACTTTGATCAACCTTGTGCTCTAACACACGTATTCATTGTTGGGAATTGTGAATAATTACTTGATGAGAAATGATATTTGTATTCAGGGGGGACTACCCAATTGTGTCCCCCCTCTCACATGATTTGCGAGCCCCGCGCACCGAGGCCCCAACCCCGATGTGAGAGGGGGGACACCATTCGGTAATCCCTCATCAGTACATGTAGCACGACCCCTACTTGATTTGCCCATAGAATCTTTGATCAAAGAAAAATAGCTCACACAATTTTCTACACTTGGTACATAGAGAAAGACAACAAAAAATTCCTAATTTGCTAGACCCAATTTTCACCCTCTATTTCATACTAAGGGTCTGTTTGTTTGGCATTAATCATTCATTTGTAAAAGATTTATGAATGTTAGTTGCCTACAATTTTTTACCATTGTCTCACATGGTGGGACCCAGTGTTTGAAAAAAAGGTCAATTTTCTCATTCTTTCCCATAAATAATACCAAACAAACAGGGGCTAAATACAACAATAAACCGTGTCAATATATAGTGAATGATTGTAATATCGTGTCAATTTTTCTTTTCTTTTCCATGGTTAGACATTTTAACACCATTCTCGTTTAAGCAAAAACACCTTTCCTTTTTCGATTCATCCCTAGGCTCGTTCAAATTTCTTTTTGATCCAATCCATAAAAATCAATAGAAAAGGAAAATCCCTTATGTACATCAGATTCGGTTTACTCAATTGATAGTGACTTCTCCTTACCTTACTTTAATTCGATAGGGAGGATTGGAGTAAGCAGCGGGTACTTGCCCTTTCAAACCCACGTTCTGGTGAAAGCACAAGCTTACACTTCTTTACATCT